TCCCCCCTCCCCCCAGTGTAGACCAGGTCTTTGTTTCTTCTCTCACTACCATCTCCATTGTGAACACTGGTTTTCCCAGCTTCATTGCCACATATAGATTAAATGTATTAACATTCTTCTTGCTGTTATTTTGGCAACTGAAGGAGGATTGGGAGCAATGGGTATCTATTGTTTACCACTCTCTTAGGATATAATAGTTCTATGTTTGTGCTTATCCATTCACAGTAAAAAGTCAATGAGATCTGAAATCATTTGACTGCTGCAGGAGAAAGTATATGGGGCTCTGCTTAATACAGAAGCAAATAATCTAACCTTATTTTACTCTCCAGACAGTTTTCTTCTCCAAACTACTGGAACGTGTATGCTGGGATTCTGAAGCAAACGGAAACGCGCTACAGAAGTGGATCCAGAGTGCAGAAAATAATTTCCCACCCAAATTATGATTCAGATACTAAAGACAATGACGTTGCCCTGATGAAGTTACAGACACCGCTGAGTATTACTGGTAGGTATTCTCTTGTTGTGTGCTTAAGCCCAAAAACTCAGCTGCAGAAATTGCCCACCCCCTTTTATTTATTTTTTAAATTGTGTCAGCCATTAAAGAGGAAGGGCTTGCTCTGCAGACACTTAGAAAACATGAGAAAAATACAAAGCATGGGAAGATATTTTAATAACCTGTAGTCAGCGAGCCAGGATTGAACACTAAGCTGCTACAAAATAGAAACTGTAATAAAACGTACTTTTTTTAATTGGGTGTCAATTTATCAGCTATCAGAGGTCTGCAGGTATGGCAGGGATGTCATGTCAGCACTGCCCTCTTCAAAGGACACTTAAATGACCTGCCAGCTCTACTGGAACCCAGGATTCTTCATGAATGAGAAATGAAATCCTTGCTGTGTGTTGATGACCTGATCATTCTATTAACTACCCATAGTGGCCTTCTAGAGAGCCTATACATGCAAGGAATATACTGCAACATATGGGACTTACACATCAAATACAATGAGTGATCTTTTTATGAAAAGAGGAGGTACCTAAGGAAACACTCTAAATCCAGTGTGTGTGTACTACATAATCCATTCATCAGGGATTTTCAGACTAGCTATAACTCCTAGTGTCCTCTCCATCAAAACAGCATACAGTTCTTCCACTATAAAGCACTTGAAAATGAACTACTAAAATCAAACAGATAGTCCATTCTGGTGCACATAACTCCCAGGCCTTGCTACTAACTTCTGTACCTTGCCCTAAGCTGAATAGTGCACAATGGATCAAGACCTAAAACAGTTTCCAGAAAGAAGCAAAACTATTTCAGACCCCGGAAGAGCGTGCAAAACTGAAGTGGGCTCTTTTTGAAATGAAGCGCAGTGGCCAAACTAGAAGTGAAAACTGGAAGACAAGGCATAGTGCAAACCCAGAGAGAGATGGCAGAGAGGATGCTCTCAACTACAGTGCCCTGAATTTGAAGGCATTCAAGAGACTTTTCAAATTACCTGAAGTCCTAAGACTTTCTAATAAGATGCAATGAAGAAAAACAACGTATAGTGCTTGGAGAAATGGCAAAAATAGCATGAAGAAAACTCCCCCTTGCTGCTGGTGGTAGGAATAGCATGAGCCCTACATGCTAAGAGGCAAACAAAGGTTTGTTTAACAGATATTTTACTGCTAGTTTGCATGCTGTGCACAACCTATTTGGAATCTGTGGAAGAAGTAGCATGCTAATTTCAATAGGACTTTGCATGGAAAGTACACAATGCTCATGGGAATTAAGCATTCTTGACCAATGTTTGCCCTCAGTCTGTGTCCTAGTGGATAAGTGTCTCATCTCCATGTCTTGCTCCCTCTGCCCCCTTCTCTCCTACTCACTCTCCCCCCACCCCCCGAAAATAAACCCTATCAAAACAGTTGGCATTAACTTGTTAATTAAATGTTACTTGAGTGATGGAGAGGGAACTAACCTCCCTCTGAATCCCCAGAGGCTGAAACTTTAGGTCAAGGCTTAGAAACATTTGGAAGCCTACACTTCTTCTACCCATCCTGTACTACTTGTGGATAAAGAGGTCTTCAGTGTTCTCAGGCTGGCAGCTTTTATGACCACAATACTTGCTTAGATGCTAGGAAGCTAAATGGACAGGGGAGGAGCCTTTATATTTAAAAGCGCTAGTGTGTACTTGGAGTTCCTAGTATTCAGTGTAGCATGGGTCTCCTCTTGGGTGGAAGACCCTCTAATAGATTTTTATTTTTTTTATTTTTTTATTTATGTCCTCTTACTTAGGCTTGCTAATCACCAGTATATTCTTACTTCACAGACACTGTAGCACCTGTTTGTTTGCCTAACCCTGGAATGATGTTCCAACCTGATCAACAGTGCTGGATATCTGGATGGGGAGCAGAATACCAAGGGGGTGAGACTTTTAATATACTTGATGGCAGGAGAGAGATCACTTGATCATTGCCTGTTAGGTTCACTCCCTCTGGGGCACTGGGCATTGGCCACTGTCGGCAGACAGGATACTGGGCTGGATGGACCCTTGGTCTGACCCAGGATGGGTATTCTTATGTTGTTTAGGATAATGTATTGTCCTCTTCAAACTGGTTTTTAATATCTGTGTTCTACTTTTAATCAAAGGTCCGTGTTTATGCCAAGGCATTGCTGACTGGTTTTTGATTTTGTGCACCACTGAAAGCAAATTTAGCTGCTGGGATTTGTAACCTTTACACATGACAATCTGAGACCTGTTCTAACTTCATTTTTGTGTGTGTGCGTGTTTCAACTTTAGGTAAAACTTCAGATGTCTTGAATGCCGTAATGGTGCCTTTAATAGAACGTTCTGTGTGTAATTCTGCCAAATTCTATAATGGCTTAGTTTTGCCTACCATGATATGTGCTGGGTATATAGAAGGAGGAAAGGATTCCTGCCAGGTAATAATCTGTGTTTATTTTAGCTCTTAAAGATTAATTTTTTGATTATTCTAACACTTGCTGGAAAGGGTATTTAAAATGCTAGTGACTATGACAGGTCTAGTTAAATAGACAAGTGACTGTCTTTGGAGCATTGCAGTCGGGCTTCCAGTTTTCATCATGCTGAGAGAACTGCTAGAGGTAGGGCTGATAGTTGGATTCTCCCATCCCAGTTCCTCAGTCTTCGATGCCAATATCGACTTGTTGCTAAATTTGTGCAAAGTGCTAGCCCCTCATTTTCAAATGCAAATCTGTAACAATTTCATGGGAACACTGAAAATGAGTGACTTTTCACAAATGTAGCAACACTTTTCTCATGCTTTTGAGAAAAGGGAAAACCAGTCTCTCCCACCCTTAATACGCAGCCAACAATATATGAGTTCTTGCATTTTTGGTGGGTAAGCTAACTATGTAGTACTGTAACTGAGGTAGCCCTTGTTTTAGATCATTTGCTTTTTAAACCGGGGCGTGGCCTCCCGGGGTTGGGGATGGGGCAGAACAAGGTTATCGGGGAGGCAAGGACCTGGCTGGTTAAGAATTGTCTTGTTTCTTCAAAACAGCATTGATAAAATAATAATTTCTTCCAACAGCTGAGCCTCCCGCTCAGCTCCTGCTGCCAGGCTGAACTAACAAGGAGGAGGGAGGGATGGACTGAGAGGGCATGGCCTCTTCCCTTGTAGGAGGGGTGGGGTGGGTGATTGCAGCTCTCTGGCCTCTCCTTGGGAGGTAGTTCCTCTCTGCCCACATAGGCTCTTGCACATGCATGCTGGGGATCATGCTAAGGCCAGAGGAGCCTGCAGCCTGTTAGTGATTCTGGCGGGGACACAAGGAGAATGCATAGCATGACTGGCTGTGTCCTGCTGAGGCTGCCTGCCTGAAATGTGTCCTGGGCAGGGGAGGCTTGTGGGGTGGGGTCCTGGACCCTAGGTGTCCATGGAATACTGTTTCTTAGAAAGAGGAGGGCATGCTTGGACATGACTCTCCACAGGGGATTGCAGCAAAAGAAGTTTGGGAACCTCTGTTTTAGATGCAGTGTGGAAGCAATACTTAGTGGGTTTTATTTTTTTATTGTTCCCTCTGAGACTTAAATACAGATTCAAACACTGTAACCATCAGCTCTTTCTAATGGGCACAGTCACTAATAGCATGCTTGTGGGCTCCTATTTTTGCCCAGGGTGACAGTGGAGGTCCGTTAGTAACTGAGAAAAACTCCGTGTGGTGGCTAGTTGGTGACACAAGCTGGGGAACTGGCTGTGCCAGTCGCAGAAGACCTGGAGTTTATGGAAATATGACTATGTTCACCGACTGGATTTACAGAAATATGCAGGTAAAATATATATTTGTGCTCTTTCTTCAACATTTTAAACAAGCTTATAGAGTTTAAACTTTAAGGCCAGAAGGGACCATTGTGATCATCTACTCTGACCACCTGCATGTTGCAGGCCACAGAACCTCACCCACCCACCCCTGTAATAGACCCCTAACCTATGGCTGAAATAATCACTGTTTCAATTACAAGCAGGGTGGTTTGACACTTGCTTTACTGGCATAACCTATTGCTGGGTGTTTGAGTTGGCATGGCCGGGGCGTACCACCTTGCCTCTTGGCGTTGGTTATGCAAATCTGTAAATCATGATTTAAAGACTTTGAGTTAGAGAACCCCCACTATTTATTATTCCAAATCCCCATTATTCATATTATGAAAAGTAACATCACATTTTTAATGACCTTGAGAACCATTAGCTGACTCTATCATATCAAGTAATTGAGAAAACTGAGACATATGATACTCACCACTTTTTTTCTTTTTTTTAAAACAGGCAAATAGA